GCGACCCCTCACTTAGTTTAGGGCATTGGCAAGTTGGGGTTTAGGGCGTATATAAACCCTAAACCCCAAACCCGGTCACCTTGTATAATCTGGGCGACAACAATTACAGAAGAATCTCATAAGCCTGGGAGTTCCTAAGCGGAAGAACTTGGTATGGGTTTGGGTTTGATGGTTTATATAGGGTTTACCCTAGAAATCCACATAGCCCAATGTAGGTAACATTTTGCAGACTTAAGGGCCCAATGTAGGTGCTATTTGTATACTCTAGGATAGACTCTCTTAAATCGTAGGGGTTGATGCTTCCAATGGAGTACACGGCACTTGGTTTGCTTTCGTTTGGCCAGAGGCGATGCAAAAATGCAGCTTGGGCCTTGCCTACCTGGGCCCCAAAAGTAGGTAAAATAGTAGCCCAAAACCACCAAAAATGGCCCAAAGGGTCATTATTTTACCTACTTTTGGGGTTCAGGTAGACCCTTCAACCTTAAATCCTATACCGGAAGCCCTAGACACTTTAAACCTTAAACATTAAAACATTAAATCCTAAATCCTAACCTATGCCCTTCTACTGAGTTTCGTTTAGAGATCCGTAGCATCTGTTAATCCCAACCCTCTAGCATGAAAATACTGCCATTGTGGTACACCATATAATATGATGGAAACATTTAATGTTAAGGGGAGTCTGAGGCTTTCACCACGGATCTAACAGTAGGGTTTGGAAGACTTTGCTCCCTAAAGGGGGGGGGGGTGGGCGGTAACATGGGGGATTATATATGGGGAAATTGTGCTTATTAAGGCAGATACTAGGAGTTTGGACTATGGCTCACACGGCTTAGGGTTTACGGCTTGGCGCTTAGGGTCCAGGGTTTAGGGTGGCGCCAAGTCGTACGGCTCAAATAACTCACCAAATGACGACGCGAATTCCCAAAGGCTCTCAATACGTGTATCAGATTTACGGTGTGATTGGGAATACAGGGCATAGGGGAGTTCTATGTCATAACCCTTAAACCCTAGACGTATGTCTTTGTCCTAGGGGAAAGCTTCGGAGCCTTTGGGATTATTGCTACCGCAGTAGATACTCAGGACTCACAGTATGGGAACCCACCCGTTCCCTACCCTAGGGTTTAGGGTTGAGGGCTCCAAGTACTCAAATGACGCGGGTTTGCATCCAAAACACCACAACTTGAATGGTTTGTAGACTTGAAGCACCAGTATTTGGGTACTTGGACCCTACCCTAAACCCTAGACTCTAAACCGTGGATAGGGATGTCACGGGAGAAGTCCCATTCATTAGGGTTGAGCCTCGCTCATGACTATCCGCGCTCCAAGAAAAAACTAGGTAGTCATGTGCACTCATATGTACCCCTATATATTCCTGTTTGACGTCACCCGTTAACGTCCAAAGCCTAAACCTGCTCAAGCCCTGCAATGTAGAAGCCGAAATTCTTGCCAATATTGTGGTTCCAGTTTCTTCTGAAGTCTTTTATAGGCTACCTCAGATCGGTGATAATCAGGGGTGTCGAGTAAGCCCTTTTACCGTTTTTTGGGATCCGAAGATCTTCATAAAACAAACTACATTCCAAAAGGGGGATCTTTTTAGTCCTAGATCCTTGCTATTCTGGCCCCTAATTACCCTAGACCCTAATTACCCTATACCCTAAACCCTACACCCTAAACCCTAAACCCTTAAACCCTCAAACCCTTCAACCTTCAAACCCTAAACCCTAATTACCCTAAACCCTAAACCCTAATTACCCTAAACCCTAAACCCTAGAGTATATGTCCGGAGCCAGGGCCGCACCGGAGGGATGTTCACGAGAGGACTGGGCTGCTCCTAAGGGTCCAAAGACCCAACCAGTATTTGTGGTTTGGGTTTAGGGTTTGGGTTTAGGGTTTGGGTTTAGGGTTTGGATTTAGGGTTTAGGGTTTAGGGTTTAGGGTTTGGGGTTTGGGTTCAAGGTTTAGGGTTTAGGGTTTTAGTCCTTAAAAGGGGACTATATACGGACCGCTATAGGGATTATAGAGGGGATTATGTAGGGGGCTACTATAGGGTTTTAAAGGGGGATGCCAGGTGTTTAGGGTTTGGGGTGGAAGGGTTAGGGTATGTACTAGGGATTCGAGTAGTACTTTTACTCTAGCATGCAAGTATTGTGTGCTTTGACCATCCAGTTTTGCGTTCGTTGTTTTCAAGGAGGCCCTTAACCCTAAACCCTAAACCCTAAACCCTGAACCCTAAAGAATCCTATGTTGTGTACAACCTCGGGACGATGTTTCCTGCAGGGGTTGCCCCTAAAGGGTGTAGTTTTGCCTGTCTGTTTCGCTTGATTTTGGGTTCGCCACCAAATGCCCTTACTCTACAGGGTGTAGGGTTTAGGGTTTAGGCTATACAGTCCTTGAAGGAAAATTCTTCAGATAGGCTGGCATGGCCATTAGTGATCTTTCTGAGTTTTCTGAGTCCACGTGTAAGCTATACTGTAGTCTAAACTCCTTTAAGGGGGTTATATGGGGGATAATATAGGGGACTACTATAGGGCGGGATACTAGGAGTTTAGACTATAACCCCTATAATCCCCTATAGAATCGCAGTTTCCATTTCATTTTTCATTTTCTTTTCCATTTGACTCTCCATTCTTAAGGGGGCTACTCATATGAACCCTGAACTCCAAACCCTAAACCCTAAACCCTTGCTCACATGTAACCAAAGGATGGGCATGGTCAGGCCAAAGTCAGGGGTTGGCATGGGCCCGAAGCTTCCCCGAACAATGGAACATTGACCTCCACGTCTGTATGTATGTATGTATGTATGTATGTATGTATGTATGTATGACACATATATGTATACATATATATATAGATATATATATATATGAGAATGCTTAGCTTAGCGTTTGTTCCGTTTGTTTTCGCCCTTAAACACCTCACGTGCTTTAAGCCTGTACACTTGTAATGACCTCACCCTTATAACATTGCCCCATGCCGTCCGCATGCAGCAACTTCAACCGGTGCTGGCGTACTCTTCGCACCTCGCCCGCCTTCAGCCTTAAGCCCTGCACACCCGTAATACCCTCACCCTGACAACAAAGCCCCCCAGCAACCAATAATGGATATGCCCTCTATTATGGGCCTAGGGTTTCCGGTACATTGGGAAGATGATCATGGGGTAACCTGGTAAAAGAAAACCCTTACCTGCATACTGTGAAGCGGCTTGAAAGGCATCGTGATCAGCGAATGTCTTGCCTGGTCAGAACTGAGTGGGGCATGAAATTTCCAGTGCATATCCCTACCGGTCCAAGGACTCAAATGATAGGGTATTAGGGCCCAAATACCATAATATTTATGGTAGTTGGGCCCTAAAACCCTATTGTGTTGATCCTGGAACTGAGGGTATGCTCTATCCACCCATCTCATCCTTCTGCGAAGATAGGCAAGATGCGATCCACACAGTCATGCGTCAGTTCAAACCAAAACCTCGTCCAAGGGGTTCAGGGTTTAGGGTTTAGCGAGTCAAGGAAGTTTCCTTCACGTTGCTGGTGGCGTTTTCGGTACGGTCACCAAGCATATACCCTGAATCAAAAGACTTCAGAATCGGGGGATTCCAAGCATTAAGGGTACCGTATCAGGGGTCCCCCATAATAAGGATTTCAATATTTAGGGGCTTATATTGGGGTGTATCTGCAACCCTTGCGGCCTTCACAGTCATACTGCAACTGACGGATGACAGGGACACAGCGACTAGTAAACGTACAAGTCTGTAACAAAGCCGTGTATGGGGGGGCTCTCAAATGAAGGGTGCTCTTGGAACCTCGGGTATATACGGAGGTTTCAAGTGGAGTATTGGCGGGCACTATTTAGGTTTGAAGGTGGATCACTTGCAGAAACTTCAATAGTAAGGGATATATCTCACGACCTTCGTATGTTGTAAGGCGCATTCCTTGACTGAGAGGTGTTGTGAGGTTTTGTTTTACATCTTATAAGCCCTAAACCCTAAACCGGCCTTCCCCAAGCTAACATGGAAGCCTGAAAAGGAGCTCAATGAAGTTTTCCATAAATGGGGGGGCTATAATATGGTAGTTTCCGAAAATGAGGGGACCTTAGAATAGACCCCAAAATACTATGCTTCTTGTGATGGGGACCCCCAACAAGGCACCCCTAATTCAGGGAAACCCCCATACAGACAAAGGTTCGCACTCCCTGTAAAGGCCCCTCCAGCTTTCTGAACGTGGTTTAGGGTTTTGGGCAAAAACTTCAGCCCTAAACCCCAAGCCTAAACCATAAATCCGTATGAGCTATAGTCTAAACTCCGTAAAGGGGTTTTATGGGTGATTCTATATGGGAGTATAATCGGGTTAGTAAGGGATGCTAGGAGTTTAGATAACAGCTCATACGAGCCATTATCAATATTAGCCTTATTAAGGGACCCTTAAAAGTGGACATAGAGGCCCCTCCTGTGGTTTAGTATACTCCCTTATATCCTCCCTAATAAGGAGCCCATGTCCATTAATCTTCTGCGGAAATATTGATCCCTACCTGTAAACCCCAATTACCCGCAGTTTACTAGTACTCACCCCTTAATTAGTAGGTAGAACCCATAAAGCTGTAGGTAATTGGGGTTACAGGTAAACCCCAAACCCACTGTGGCTCATAAGGGGTTTCCATGGTTTTCTTCCAGGGAGGGGGCCATGTGTGAGGACCTCACCGACAGCCTCAGGCGTCAGGCAAGTTGCATGAACCATTCTAGGTTCATATAGCAATAGGGGCGTTATATAGGGGATTATATAGGGGACTACTATAGGGGTTATTAAAGGGGATACTAGGAGTTTAGACCGTGTTTCATATGAGCTACTGACATTTAGGTTGGGGGGACCTACAAGGGGAATATATAGGGGTTTAGGGGGAGGCCTCTTAGGGGATATACTACAAAGTTAGTCCAGGGCTCAAACTTTAAGCCCTAAACCCTAAACTGCCTGGAATCCCGTGCCACCACAAACTGAAGACCCCAAGCACCTGCAAAAAAAGGGGGGCATTAACAGTGTTAGCGAGACCAAATTTTGGGATTGTTTGGGAAGCATCATCCCGCATTCTCGGGTTTTCGGGTCCTCCATGTCGACGTCTGCACCAGGGTCTTTATTACTAGGTTTAGGGTTTAGGGCTTGGGGGGGGTTTAGGGATGTTTCGCAAGATGTCCCGTATATGATCCTTAAAAGCGCCATTCACAATCCTCCGTCGGTCGTCCCCCAGGGTCCATGAAGGCATCCCAATTTCGAGATATTCTATGAAGCAAGTGTTGACTGTGGAGGGTGGGCTGTAGGCGCTTAAATTAAAACCCATATTCTGGTCGTAGATTTCTTGTACACTTACGGTACAGGGTACATCAAAATTGATATATTGGTGACTATTCAGCATAATTCTTAAGAAAGCGGCATAACCCCTTGGAAAACCCTGTATAAACCCAGCTTCCATTTGATTATCCATACCCCCACTCGCCCTATGTTAGGGTTGAGGAGGTTGGATGCTGATCACAGGACTTCTGTGTTTAGTTGAAAGTCTGAACCCTTAAGCCGTTAAGCCTGAGTGCTAATCCCTAAGCCCAAACCCTTAACCCTTAACCACCCAAAACAAAAATAGTTTCCCAAAAGAGGCAGTTTCCGTTGTTCCCTCCATTTCCCTTATGCCCCATTATAGCCCCTTTTGTGGAGTAAGGGCAGTTCAGGGTTCCAAGAGGCTTTGAGTGACTCCCTGGCTCGGCCTACAATTTCGGGTTGAGGTTTCCTGGGAGTTTGCATACATAGGTTAAGTTTAGGGTTTGCATGGGGTTTAGAACTCTAGTCCCTAAGTTCGGGAGAGTCCTAGAGACCGCCTTGTTACTGCTATTCCAAGGACGTATCTTTGAAGGCTTTGTGTCATGAGAAAGGCCTCACAAGGAGCAGCTTGCAAACCCACAATTGCTCAAGGTAAAAGGATCAGCAGAATGGAGCTTAGGACATAAGATTAGCGGGTCAGACTTTTGGTTTGTTCGAGATTTTGGTTCTATATGTGCTTTATTCTCATAAGGATTCTCCGCGCTGAGGTCCTGGTATCAGGCCTTAGATGGGACAATTCTTCAAATCCCTAAGCCGGCGTGTTCAATCCTGCTTGAAGGGCCCTGGGAACTTTTGTAAACTTACAGCAACCATTATAAGCCACGGAAAAACAACCCCAGTCATGCCCATTATTAACCTAGGTATTAAGCCCTCTTGACCCTGCAAGTTAATCTCAAACTCTAGACCAGAAACCGTAAAGCATGAACGGCTGTGCATGACCCTACAATATACCCCCATACATCTTTATGATATACTCCTTTATATTCTATAACCGATATAAAACCCTATACAACTCAATATCGTAGTATGCCTTTTGGAGCATAGGTTGTAGGTCTTGGGGTGCGGCGTCTGGAGTAGAGGGTTCGCGGCCAGTGTAAGTGCCTATCTCACTAGAATATGGCTTAGGCGGTGGGGTTCAGGGTTTAGGCTTCAGGGTTCATGGCTTGGGCTTTACGGTTCAGGGTTGAGGCTATAGGCTTTAGGGTTTAGGTTTCAGGGTTTAGGCTGTAGGGTTTATGATTTAGGGTTTAGGTTTTAGGGTTTAGGCTTTCGGGTTGCGGATAAGGGGAGCATATTGGTACTCTGGCGAGGTTCTGCATAGAAAATCGTAAGCCTTAAAGATTTCAAGTATGTACACTCAAGGTTTGTAACCTTGGACTTTGGGCCCCAAATACTGTAATTAGACCCTAAACCCTAAACACCAAACCCTAGGGGTACACCAAAGAACTCCTCAAACACTTGTCTGGAAGCTAAATCCCAGCCTGAATACCAAGTATCTGTAGTCAGTAGTCTCCTCAGGACTTTTCCATTTCTATTCGAGTAGCACCCTAAGGAAATGTTCAAGGCAATGTTTTTGTTATAGGTCTGAGGGAATTGCAGTTATTCGGGCCCTACTAAACACAATGAAGGGAACCCTAAACCATAAACCCTATAGCCTCAACGCTAAACCCTTCGACCATTAACCATGAACCCTAAACCCTAAATCTTAAACCCTAAGCCCCAAACCCTAAGCCCTAAACCCTCAACCATGAACCCTAACGCATGTCAGTCATAGTCTAAACTCCTTAAAGGGGGATTATATAGGGGACTACTATAGGGCTTATTAAGGGGGATACTAGGAGTTTAGACTATAGCTCATGTCAGTCCTGCGAGGCCGCTACACTGGGGAAACTGCCTGCATGTGGTGACCTCGAGACGGACCTTGGATTGTATAGGGGTTCTATAGGGGTTATATAGGGATAATGGAAAAGAAAATGGAAACTACTAATTTAGTTTTAAGGGTTTAGGGTTGAGGATTCAGGGTTTGAGGTTTAGCATTCAGGGTTTAAGGTTCAGGATTTAGGGCTTAGGATTTCGGGTTTAAGATTTAGCGCTTGGGATTTGGGGTTTAGGATTCAGGGTTTAAGGTTTAGGATTCAGGGTTTGGGATTCAGGGTTTAGGGTTCAGGATTTAGGGCTTAGGATTTGGGGTTTAAGATTTAGCGCTTGGGATTTAGGGTTTAGGGTTCAGGGTCTAGAACTTACGACTTCGGATTGAGGGCTTATTAGGGTCTAGAATTTACCTGTAACCCCAATTACCTAAGTCTTATGGGTTCTACCTGCTAGTTAAGGGGTGATTACTATTAAGCTGTAGGTCATTGGGGTTACAGGTAGGGCTTAGGATTTAGGTTTAGGGCTTAGGTTCGGGGTTTTTTGTTCAGGGGGGAGAAACCCTTTTCCAATTGCAGGCTGCAGATTTAGGCGGTTTACTTTCCCAGCTTCCATTTCTGTAAACCTGGCGAGTGCAAGGCTTAAGTTCTACGAATTGCTGTAGTCTAAGGACTTTGGGAAGGACCCCTAATAGGGACCCTTGTAGCTTATGGGGGTTAATATATGGGGACTACCTAGGGATATAGGGGTTATATAATGACTATACAAAGGTTATATATGGTAATGGGATTAAGGGTCCCTATTAGGGATCCCTCCTAAAGTCCCTAGATGTAGAGTCTACTAAGAACTGAAGGCCTCCAGAAGCCTTGAACTCAAGAATGCCCTGTTAAGTTTAGGCGTTCCGTCGCATGCTCCCACATGTGCCGCTCGAGATCCGAGCCTGCATTGAGCAGCTCGATGTAGTGAGCCTGATACCTCCAGCCGATGAGCCGCTCGTTGCGAGCGTGCCGGCTGTCCGTGACGGACATGACTTTTGGCCTTCCGTGGCAGTGTGAGCAGATTGCCTGAATTGTTGCTGTTATGTGTTTGGATCCTATACAACACAAGCTCATGGAAGCAAAAAATGCCAGTTTGAAAACAAGCTTAAAATGCAAGTTTGAAAACGTGGAAACCTGCGAAAATACTGCGCTCGAAAATAGGAGAAAAGGCGACGGTTTGGAAATTGCGGAAAAGTGCGAAAGAAACGAAACACATGCGTTCCTGGAAGTGATCCAAAGTAAGCCTAGATCGAACGAAAGGCAGAGCAATGAGATTTCAGGAACACTGCGTTCAGTTAGAGGTTTGGGCCCCCCGGCTCTCCTCAAGGTTCAGAGCTTCGGAGAGCAGATCCAGTGAGAACCATGCTCTGCTCCCAAAAGCGTCCGTGAGCAGTGTAAGCATACAATATAGAAACTTAGTATATGTTCAGGGCTCACAGGGCTCGCATATAACTACTTGCAAGCCTCGGTATACAATGCGAAAAGGCTGCACGGACTCTGTGGGACTATTTATTCAATCGCTTTGGATCGCTTTGGATTGGCCCCATGCACCAACAATCCCATACACGCGTCTTGGAAATTCCCATAATAACTGGTATAGCATGGCTGTATATATTGCTGCCCCCCACTTGCTGGCAGCTCCCAATCAGGCAGGCACCTGGCTGATAGTCAGAGTGATGGTCACATGTCCGGAGATATCCCCACATTTTGTTTAGGGCTACCCTGCATTCATGCTTAGAACCTCACCAGGCCTGTAAGAAATTCTTGTATATTAAACGAAAATAGGCCTAGGTATAGTCAGCATTCCTTCTGTTTGTCACCTCATCCTCTTGGTTTTGCACCGGTCCGCTCGCTTCAGCGCTTTGTCGGCCACAGCCCACCACGAGCCTGAAGCACCATCATGCTACAGACAGCAGCCTCCTGTCCAAGAAACTGCAAAAGACAGTTCACAAGCGCTGAAAGCATCACTGCATAGCATATACCTACTGCGCCCTATGCGCCTTATCATTGAGCATTCAACTTTCAAACCCCACAGCAACAGTCAGGGAAGAGAGCAAATGGCAGAAACTCTAGCTTACCTTGCAAAAGGGAAGGAAGTGACTGGAGCTTAGTGATCTGCACCCTATAAGTCCCGAGAAGAGAAAAAAGAGACCGACCGCGATAGGCCTACTGCGGAACCCGCAGTATACAAATAGCCCTGAGCCTACCTCCCGCACTTGTCATTTCATTGGCGGCAACTCTGACCCAAATCCCGAAATCTGCGTGTATTTCTCAGTAGCTTTCCTATCCAGTTCATCACATCTCTGGCTTAGCGCTGCGCTTGGAGGTTCATGGCCCTTCATAATTATAACTGGGCTTAGAATCAAAGTATCATACTGTGGCAGCGGCTGTTGAGGAAGGATAAGTAGGGCTAATTAGTTTATACGTAGTTACTGATCGCCTTCACCTCACAAAAACAAACCGCCCCGTAATACTGACCCACACCCCCAATGTGGTATCACTATATATACGAGGCAACATGTCTTATTAGTGGGAGGGGATTAGGCCCCATGATCCTCAAAGCCCCGCACCAAACCCAATGCACCCCGACATACATCCCCATATCCCTCCGTATAGCCGTAGAAACCCCTACAGATCCTTATAGTCCCCCCTTCAAAGGTACCTAAGTCCCATGAACCTACCCTAAAGCCGAAATCCGAAACCTTAAACCAAGTAGGAGAGCGCAAGCTTTCTGGGCCCGCGGCTCACGTTTGACTGGGAGGCTGGCCACTGTTGAGGATCGGCATTTAAGTATTGCCTCCGCAATAGATTCTATGTGGGAGCTTCAAACAATTGAGGGTTCAGCGATGTGTCCCACAGTGTAGGGACAAAGATGGACCCCCCAATTTCTGGAAACTCCCACGTAGGAGGGATGTACTGTTTTCATGCTGGTGAAAGTCTTTTGGGCCCCTCTCTACACATGGTGTTCTGAAAATGACACAGATCCAACTTTGGGGATCCCTGTAATCCTCTCCCCTGATAATGAACCCTCCCACCTGCACCCTTTGCGTAAGCCTTATATTAGGCGTACCCACCTGGTATCTCCCCACGCGAGCAGTCCTTCAAGAAGGGTGAACCGGCCGATCAATCAGCTCCTGTCTGTTTGTTCCAACTTGGAGGTTATTGCTGTCTACATTCAGCCTACAAATTCATTCCAAGCCATGATCAGTGGGGTCGACATCCCATAGATCTCTGCAAGTAAGATTTGGGTATAGGCGCAGGAAAAAATTCTTCATGCAGTGCTTGCTTAGAGGTTCAGGGCGACTTAGTAAGGAGGTTGATGACCCCTCTAATTCTGATAAAAGCCACCATTGTCTCCATTCTCCGCCTCTTACTAAGTTCCCCTGACCCTAAACTCCAAATATTATACAGCTATCCATTTTCTTTTCCATTGTTACAAAGGACCCTCCAAGTATTTCAATAGTTTGCAGCGGTCAGAGCTCTGTGAGCTAGCGCCCTTTCAGGGTTTAGGGTTTTCCTTGTATTTTTGTTGGGTTATAGGGCCCCGGCACATGTGTACATAGGCCTGAATAGAGGATAGTTGGAGCGTCTAGGTAAAGTTGTATGTTTCCACCTGTGGAAAGTTTCAAGCGGCGATGATGTAGGAGGGGTGGTTAGGAGAGGCCGACATGATAGCCAGCACCCCCACCCTCCCCACTTTTTCATCAAACCGTCTCCTCTCCACCGTTTAAGAGTTACGGAGCGAAAGCTAAGTCCGGAACCTTCGTCCCAGAGTCCTAAATTCGAAATTCAGATCCCCAAGTCCTAAACCCTAGGTCGAATTCTCTGGGGCTTACTTAAGGGTACCATTTTGGGTGTCTTGACAAGAAGGATCAGGGTATTTGTGCTCTATACTGGGCTCCCCCTGTTCGCAGAGTAACCGTTAGTGTACCTACAACAAGGTTGTGTTTCTCATTATTTTTCCGAAGTACCAGGCCAGGTAAGCCTTAATCTGGAGGCGGAGGGTCTGTACACTTACAAAGCCCCACATATACCTATGTACCCTAAGATTTTCCTGCTGTCTATGTCTACCCATGAATCTCAAACCCTCGTCCCGAAATCTAAGCTCTTAACCTCACAGGCAAGTCTCTAGGTCCCAAACCCACAATGCAAATCCCAAGGTCCTGAACCCCACGCCTAAACCCTGAACCCCTAAACCCTACACCCTAAACCCTAAACCCTACAACCCCTACCCCCGAAGTCCTTTCACAACATCTTGGCATCTTCGCCTGTTTAATATATTTTTTAAGTAAGCTGTAATCAGCAGGCGGAGGATTTGTAATAGATGGTCCCATGTATCTACACATAGACTGGTATATCCCTAGTATATATAAGGGTTTAGGGTATACATATATAAAATAACTCTACCCTCATCTACAGGCAGAGGATCTCGAGGAGGAGCAGTCCGCGGAACTTGTAGTCACCCCTGCTGAGGCTAGCCTCCTCAGGGCACGAAGCATGGAGAGCGCAGGGTCTAGAATCATTTAATGAGAGGATAGGGGCGACTAGGCCTATGTGGGACATACATGGCGTAGGGTTTCCATATTGGAAACTCAAATGCGTGTCGAAGATACTGGAAAACTGAGGGGGAAAACGGGTTTGTATACTGTAGGCGTTACACGGGTGTACTGTTAGTTGGACGGCCAAAGGGGGATAGTAAGGCATGGAAAACAAAATGGAGATTACGATACCGCTTAGGACATAGGGTTTAGAGTTTACCGATGAGTTTTCAGAATTTAGAGTTTCGTGCTGAGAGTTTGCACCCTACATCCTAAACCGTTTAGAGTTGAGGGTTTGGGGGTTCAGCATGTGAAGTTCCTGAAGAATATTCGGGAAGCGTTCAACCCAATCGCTGTGAAGCCTATACGGGGTTACCCGAACTCAACCCTCAAGTGCTTGCGCTTGCTGGTTGCCAGTAGGCACTGGAAGAATGGAAAAGAACCATGGGATCTATATACTCCATTTCTGTGATTGCATAGGTTTCACAGTCCCTAAACTCAAGCATTCGTGATGAGCCCCGACTGGTTTCGCAAAGTTGAGGGTTACATGGAGAACATCCAGGGTTTCAGGATTGGACCCTTGGGGTTGTACCCCTGGGTTTGGCGGACACGTTGAGGATTTCCTTGACGAATCCACCGTCATCACAAATGGGTGGACCCCGACTGCAGACCCAAAAATACTACAATCCTTATTCTGGGAACCCCCAAAGCCCAGGAACTCCCTGAAGAACACAGTCATGATTAGAGTTTTGTGTATTGGGTTTAGACACTTGCACGACATGTGTTGTTTGAGGGCTTCCATTGCGGCTGCATTGGAGGGTGCGGCATGTTCGCTTGCAATTTTTGTATGCCCTCTAAAAGGTGTTACAAGCTTGGTATGTGCATGTGCTGAATCCGCTCCACCGTAGCATTCGTGCATAGACAATGCACTCGCAGTACGCACGATTTGGAATCTCAAGCTCAGAACCCCAAACCCCAAGCCCTCAAGCCCAGCCGCTGACCCCAAGCAAAATATACCTCACAAGTTTGACTCCTGGAGTTTTTGTGTGAGTACCATGCTGTCAAAGACACTGACTCAGACAACAAACACAAAGGTGGTGTGCGACCCCTCCCTTGTTCAAAGCCAAGTGCTAAATTGAGCATTGTTTGGCCCGAATTGTCAGGGGGCTACGATAGCACGGCAGGGTAGTCTATCGCTGCATGACCAAAAAAACCCAGCCGCAAACCCCACTCGCTTCAACTTGGGTTCGGCAGCGGTTCTAATGAAGTGAGACCTGGAAAACAAACCGTTCAGCGTATTCCTTCTGACACAAGGTACCGGTTGAGGGTTCAGGGTTTAGGGGTACCCCTACGTACTGTTGATACTAAAGGACTGCAGGACTTCATTCTACCATGATACTTTAAATCCCAGGAAATCCGATACTTGGCATCCGACATCCCACAAAGATAACGTGCCTTAAACATATCCTTAGCCCAGAGGGTCCATGTATGCAATAACTAGGTGTAGGGGATTTGGATACTAGAAATCATAGAACAAGTTTGGGGTAAGTATATGAATGATTATAGGTACTTGGACCGCAAACCCTAAACCCTAACCCTAGGGCTCCATGTCTACAAATAATACCTACATTGGGCCTTAAATTCTGTAAATATGGCCTACATTGGGTTATTTGGAGCCCTAGGGTAAGGGGAAGGGTCCTGTGGACATCCTTTAGAATGCCTTTGCAGTGCAGTGACCCGAATGGGCCTTTAACCCTAAACTGGTTTCTCCATACTTGGGGGGTCCGGGGGACTTGGTAAGTAGGCTTATAATGGGGATAAATGGGCCTACTATATAGGTTATAGGGGTTCTTGACCTACTTACTAAGTCTCCCTGATCCTCCAAGTAAACCCCAACACGGACCGTATATTCCCGGAGATTTTTCTTTAAAGTCTCCCCGAGTCACAGGGTACTATCCGAAGGGTGCAACCCCGAAAACCTTGAATGCAGGCATTTCAAGCCCCAGTGTTCTAGCCAGGGAGCGGACCTGCGTGATCTTCTCAAGAAGGACATGCCACATCTGAGTTACGGGTTTTGGTGCAGGGTTTAGCTTGAATTTGGTCAGCAAGGAATGAAGGAATGGGATCCTTATAGTGATCAGTCCCTATATAACCCCTTATAGTAGTTTCCATTTTCCTTTCCATCCCTGCATTCCCAGCTAACCAAAGATAAATTAGGACTTAGGGTCATTGGCGAGCCAGAGCCTCTTATCTTTGGTTCAAACTGGTTCCATGGTAGCTGTAGATGTCGACGGGTTGATGTCCCCAGCTGCGTATGGTTTGCACACAGTTCACACAAGATTGATATGTGTGAAGGTCCTCGGAGGTTTCCAGTAGGAGAGTTGCGGAACTATGTGCCTCACTTGGAGCCTTAGGGTTTGAGCCCTAAGGTTGAGGAGGATGTAGAGCTTGTGTAGGGTAGATGTAAGTATTGATTGCTGGTTTTGATAGGGGGCTTCAGTAACCCCACCCCCCCAAATTTTGGGCTTGTTATAGGCATATGATAGATATAGAGTCTTAGTTCTAGGGGTTGGGGTTGCGGCGCCCAGCCTCGAGCCAATCACGAGCACCCCTGAACCTGAAACACTACGGGAAAAGTCATGGTTGCTATAGGGGCCTTGAGTATTTTCATTCGCGAATATCATGGTTAGAGATTCCCTGCACAGGTCTGTATGGCATAGTCCAGCTAGACCTCAAAATGATGTTGCTTTGTAAGATTCTACAGGGTTTAGTGTTGAGGGTTTAGTTGCCCCGATGGTATCATAAGCGGGGCTTTAAGCCCTGTGCGCATGTTCAAGGGACCCCAAGAGGGCAGAGGGACCGGGTTTTATTGAAAATCCCTTGTAAATTCCCATGACATCCCTACGACCCCTTGGGTCCAGCATTGCAATAGCTTCCCCTTGATAAGAGACACCGCCCTCCCCCTTTAAAGCCCAACTAGCATTTACGGTTCTTGGGGGCGGCAGTATGTCCATATCAGTTTCGAGGGCAGTCAGTGTAAACCTAGATAATATTCCTGGATCTCGACAACCGAAATTCATGGTTAATTGTGGTATCGCGCGTCCGCCTCGGCTACAGGCAGAGAAGTTGTTCTGAAGCACCTTTGACCAGTTCTCCTGTGCCTGTATCGAAAGAGAAAAAGAGGAGAAGGAAAGACACGTGAGGTCGTGCTACGTAGCACGCCAGTTTGATATGAAGGGGATGGGTGGGCGGGGGGGGGCAGAGCAGAGGGAATTCTCAGAAGGTTCCAAGCGCCTTGGCTGGACCAGCCACGGAGAAGTAACATGCGCCGTTTAGAGGTAGTCTTCCAAGTTTTCAGGCCTGCGCTCAGGGTGCTTATGATCAGGGGTTGTTTGTTAATGAGGAGAAGCGATCACGAAGCAAGCTTCAGGCAAGCCTGCACAAGCCTGCTTGAGGGTCAGAGGCACTCGGGAGGGAGCGCAAAAGCAAAAGCAAACTACTCAATGATTTAGGTTTCAGAGTCAGGGTTTGAGGATTCAATAAAGCAGGTCACTCCCAGCAAGCCTTAAACCGCGTCCAAACACCCTCAAGTTCAAGCAAGTCTGTTCGGAACAGTCCAGTTTTACTGAACCCTCCACGAGATCCATAATACTAAGACTAGGACTAGGAAGGAGAGTAATGCTAGTTGTGGTACTACCCCGGGTAAATGAAAAGCCATAGTACAGCACTAAGACTAGGAAGATGCTAGTTATGGTACTACCCCAGGTATACTTAATCCGAGCACTAGATTAATAAAAGGGACCATATTTAAAGAATTTTTGGGTGGGAAATTAGCCGTCCAAGACTAAT